TCATTAATTGGATATGAACACGATTTATATCCTCATTTATGTATTGTCGCAAACTACCCTTTGTACAATTATTATTTTAAAAAAATTGGCAATTATAAATTATTAATGAAATATCAAATTTACCCTTATTTATTGCTGAATTAAAATTTATAAAGTCAATTATATCATTATTTGTAAAAATCATTAAACCACCCATCCAAAATTGCATTATCCGAATTCAAACCTGTGACCATCAGAAAGTATACAAGAATACTTACGATTAAGACACAATGTATAATTAAGAATAAACTAGCAACACGAATATATATCACAAAACTACAAATAATGATTATAAAACTTATATAAATAATGTTAAATAAATTATTAGTCTCATATAATTATTATTATATATTAAAAATATCCCATACTAACGAATTTTTATATAATATAATTTGAAAATCTAAGGAAATGCTGATCAACTCGTGTAATTTAAAAATCAATTTCAAAAGAATTTGAAGTTTGAATTGAATCGTAAATTGTAAGATTTAATTAAATCGTAATATTTGGATCAATTAAACTCATGTGTTTTCAATTCAAAAATTATATTCAAAGATTTAATTGATTAAGCTCAATTCAAAGATTTAATCAATTCGTAGACAATATTAAAATATTTGAATCGGTTAAACTCAATAATTTACAATAGCGTATAAATCGAACTATGTATAGTTAAAGTTTAGTATCTTTTTTATTGAATTTATCATAAAAAATAATAAAATTTAATTCGTAAAAATCGTAAGATTTAATTGGTTCATGGTTAGATTCAATCTTATGATTTACAATTTGATTCTTACGATTTTACGAATTAATTTATTATTTTTTTTTGTTAAAATTGAATTAAAAGGATAGTAGACTTTAATTATAAATAGTTAACTCGATTAATACGTTCTTGCCAGTGGTTGAACTTAATCGATTCAAAAATTTGAATAATATTTACAAATTAAAAGGACTTGCGCTTAATTGATTCAAATCATATTCAAATCATACGCTTTAATGAATCTTATGATTTGATTCTTATGTAATTTAGGAATTATTTTTTTATGATAAAATTGAATTAAAAATGTATTACACTTTAATTAATAATAGTTAATTTGATTAAGACGTTTTTGTCAATAGTTGAGCGCGCTTAATCAATTCAAATATTTGAATAATGTTTACTCTTTGCAAGGACTTGAGCTTAATTGGTTCAAATATTACGCTTTGATAAAATATTACGATTTACGATTAGGTTCTTACATGTGTTAGAAATTATATTTATTATTTTGTGGCCAAATTGAATTAAAAAGATATAAGACATTACTTATAAATAGTTAAATCAATTATGTAACATGTTATGTCAATAGTTAAGCAATCGATTCAAATATTTGAATAATGTTTACTAATTGAAATGATTTGAGCTTAATCGATTCAAATCTTACTATTTGATTAAATTAAATATTAAAAGAAAATTCACAATATAGTATTTATAGTATATAATTTTATTTTAAAGTAAGAAAACTACTAATTGGAATGAGTTATAATTTTTTCTTCTTCTAAATAAACATATTATTTTATTTTTTATTTGGATTTGTCACACTAGCGATTTAATAAGATAAGTGAGTTTGGATTAAGTTATGCATTTTTTTTATATTTAATTGAGCATTCTTTATATTTTTAAATGGTGGAGTTTATTAATGTTTCTAATATTATAGAATTAATGATAGATGTTTGGCGTATTGAACTGCAATTCTTTATATTTTTCAAACTTTATTATATTAAATTTGGTAATAATTTATCTAATATCATTCAATAATAATGAATATCGCAATTAATATTTTATTTAACAATATTTAAACGTACATTTATTATCATTTTATATTGTGTTTTACCGATATATACAATTATGGTTAAATATATCATAATAAGTTAATGTGCTTGGATGGTTAAGAGTGATGAATGTACTCAGATGTCACAAGTTCTATTCCGAATGAATGTATTTTTTTCGATTATTACTCAAATAAAACTCGGTCACAATGAATTTAAATTAGTTATTTAATTAAAATATAGTAGGGGGTAAATTAGACAATTCAATGTTAACATATTTTATATTAGGGGCTTTAAGATATGCATCCCTAGTGGGGAAACATATTAGATGCTACACCCAAGGATATTAAAACATTAGAAATACATCCTTTCGTGAAATTATTCCTATAGTACCCTTACGGTGATATTAACGTCGTGTATTTTGGTATTTGGTAAGTTGAAATTAAATCCCCCCCAATCTTCGCCTTATAAAATTGTCCGGGTTTTTATTTATCTTTAATCCCCTTAAAAACCGGCCAAATAATTTAAACCCCCCCCCCCCCCCCCCCCCTCATTTCCCCCAAATTAAGGTCGTCTTCATCTCCTTCTCTACTGCGAATCGGCGGCAATAACTCACAAAGTATACACCAACAAAATTCAACTCCTCATCGCCACAAACATCTACGATTGTCTACGTCACGCAACAAATCGAGTGAGTTTTGTTTTGAATTTTTTTTCTAAAAACTTAAAAATTAGGGTTTTTTCACAATCTAATATGCAGGGGAGATGTGAATGAAGGGTCAGCAGGACATAAATGTGCTAGATCCAGGTGAGCTAGATTGTGCATATGTGGAATTTTCTGTTTCATTATGTTCAATCATTGGGTGTCTATGAAAATAGTTTGGTGGTTTGAATCTGGAATTGGAATTTACTTATCTGTGTTTACATTCTGTATATTTTTTCAATTATAGTTATAGTCAGTGATATGTTTAGGGGTATTTCTATGGTAGTCTATGAGATGCAATAGGTTGTGGTGTAGTAACTGTTATGGTAGTTTATGTTTAAGATTTCTATGGTAGTCTATGAACTTCTCACTGCAAGTCTATGGTATTCCATAAACTGGTAAGGTATTTTGTAAGGTTCTAGTTATGTATTGCTGGGATTCGTTTATTTTGGCTAACTACAAAGTAGTTGGTAGAAGAAAATTGTATAATGAATATGTTTCTGGGTATTTAATTAAATGGTAGTCTATGGTAATATGTAGTAGGCTGTGGCATAGTAATTGCTATTGTAGTTTATCTTGTAATATTTCTATAGTAATCTATGAATTTTCCACTGCTTTTCTATGGTTGTCTGTAAATTGGTAGGTGTTTCATGCGATTGTAGTTATGGGGTAGTGCAGGGATTCGTTTATTTTGGCTGACTAGTAAGCGTGATAGAATAAAATTGTATATTGAATGAATATTTTGACCTCAATATATTGCAGCACCTAACTGGAATCTACCGGTAGGGTGAATATATGTGGACATTTTGTAGACCCACACTGTGAGGTTGATAATAAGTAGCTGCAAATTTTTCTTACTAGTCATTATTGTTAATGAAATGTGTGTATGAGTTAATTAGGCATATACGAATATCTAAATTATCTATGTAAACCTGTGGTATTCTACGGGTGTTGTGCTAGTCTATGATTGTCTATGCACTGTTTGATCCTCACTAACACATTTAGATTTCCAAACAATTAAGCGACAAATTGAAACAAGACGAAGAAAAATCCGCTCAAAACCTTTCGTCATCCCTACAGATGTCTACGTCTGGCAACAAATCAAGTAAGTATTTTTATTTTATTTCCTTGTTTTGGAGTCCCTCATCGCTTATTGCCAATTTCAGAACTAGGAATTTCAACAAGGAAAAAATTGCAGGAGAGATGAGGACGAAAGTACAACAAGATATAAACGCGCTAGACCCCGGTAAGAATGAAACATGTGTGGTAATTTGTTTGAGTGTATTTATAAGATTATTTGGTGTCTATGATTACTATGTAGTTACTTTGGATGTATATGTTAAATGGCTTGATTGTGTGTGAGAGTTATTGCGAATTTTGGACAATAATAGTTGATTTGATTGTATAGATGTTTCTATAGTTGTCTTTGCAAATTCGTGTGGTTGTTTGTTGATTATGTGAAATAGTGTTTTTGGCGTCTACAACATTTTAAGAACTGGGTTAATTTGAATATATATTCCTGGTTATTTGATTGTGTAAAACATAGTTTGGGTCTCTACGAAAGTTTATACCTTATTTGTGTAGACTTATAGAACAAAAAATTCGGGCTGATTTTATTGATGTTATAGAAAATAATGTATTGTGTGTGCCATGTGGTAAACTATGTAAAACCACAAAATAAGTACATTGTGTTCAAATAAGTGTTGTTTGTGAATTAATTAGTTGATTGCACAACAAAATTTTTGACTATCTATGGATGCCTATGATACTGGTGATGTCAACACTAAAATAGATATGAACAAATTTTGTACAACTTATACTATACACAACTTTTAACATTTTGGGGTCCTAATAGCCTGCATATGTGGATGTCTGCACTATTTGTTAAAAACACTAGTACCTTGTTTTTTTGTCTATACATTATGTTGGTGTCTACATCTTTTTTTAAACTCTCCTGAATGTGTGATTGTCTATATGTGTCTATGCATTGTATAGAC